GAATCCCCATTGCAGGATTCCGAATTCCGGCCCACACCCAGCCCAGAAAGTCTATTAAACCAGGCCATTCCAGACTCCGGTGATGGCGTTGCGGCCCGTTAAAGCCACCGGCCACATACAACATGATCATCATCGCTCCATGGCCGGTCCAATACCCCCCTCCCCCATATAATGTTCAGCAGGAAAAGGTTTTTTAGACGAATTGGACAAAAAAAATTTTTTCCATTTTTTGTCCGACCGACCCTGCCCGGATATCCTGGCGGTAACGATAGTCACAAACGGATCGAGGGCGGACAGTGGCCCGACGGCCTTGGCAGGTGGCTTATAGTTTTTAATTCACCAATTTTTCCAAAATGTGGACTGATACAATCCGATTCTATTTCTATCCACACCACTAGGTACCCACATTCAGAAAAAACACCTGTTTTCTTGTACTTTACGATCAAGAATTTCTTTTATTAATTTATACCAACTCGACATACATCCGGACCTGGACAAGTGTCCCAGCTTATCTCTACCCCCCCCCCCCCCCCCACAACCACCTTACGGGCCCTGCCGCTATGAAACAGTTTTGGCAGGAAAACGAGTTATGGACATCTAATTTAGAAATTTGTATCGAGGTCCACCATGATCCTCATTAGTGCGCGTTGTGTATTTGGCACCTGCCGCCGCCGACTTAGAACGGTAATTTTTTCGGACATTTCATTTCTGACCCTTATCATCAGGCTCGTACGCTTACGGTCGTTACACTTCACGTGGAGAGATCTTTCCTAATTATATAGTTATTTGAGGTTTGTTCCTATCTAGGTGTCTGATTTTGGTCAACATCGAGGCTTGTTGAAAATTTTGAACTATCGATGTCAGGAACTTTTCTGTATAACTCAAAAATGCAATACAAAAAGTGAATGAAATTTATTATGTGCATACCTTATTTGTCTGTGGATCTGGTAATAAAATCATTTTCCGAGTCACCAAAGGTAACTTGGAGCTGTGCGCTGTGATCCAACCCTAACCCGATTTTCTCTCATATTTTTGGTAGGTTTGGGGTAATATATCTCGATATGGCAACACAATAATAAATTTTCCAGTCGTGTATAGTTTATTCATCCCAAGTTGGATACTTTTTGATGCACACAGTGAGTGTAGTCTTTGCTGCGCTCTCAATAATTAGGCCGGTACGATAATTTTTGGGGGATCACGTGGCTAAGTGGGTAAGACGGTGGCTCGCTAGCCTGGAGGTCGGGTGTTCGATCCCTGCATTGGCCGAGAAAGTTCATCCAGATTTTCCGGCGTGGTTTCCACCTTGTGATGCCTGCAACAAGGACAACTGTCTAGTCGTTCGGATGGGACGAAAAACCGAGGTCCCGTGTACACATTGGCGTGCACGTAAAAGATCCCTTGACAGTTGGAATTCTATATTAGGCCGCTGTATGGCGTATGCCCGTCTTCATTAGCCCAGTTCGGAGCAGAACAGTAGGACGTTAAACCCCATTTCATTTCATTTCCTTGTACGATAATTTAGTAACTTTACGGTAATAACTTACATTATGGGGATTTGTGTGTTGTCTAATATACATCTATGCATTAACATGTTCATTTAATTATTATTATCGTGATAAATATAAATATGTGTATTTATTGGCGCTAGGGATATATCTGCAAACTTCATTTCGAATCCCGGTGTTGGAATACATGCGAGAGATTCCGTTCGACTGCCATTTGCCCCACTCCTTACTGTACTTGAAACTGTCCTGAAAATAAGATAGCCCATTTGCGGCATTTTGTTGACTTGTGAGACACGATAAGTGAATGTACAAGCGCGACTAATAAGTTTATTCAGAAAATAATGATTGCAATAGGATTATGAGCCGTAATGCATGCACATGTATTATGTTCGTGAGACGGTTAAATCACCGATTACCAGCCATGTAAAAGATAGGTTGCCAGGCAACGAAACATACACCCACAGCAGCTAAATCGTCCTGACAGTCAACAAAAGTTGTCGTATATTTTTACGTTTTTCAGTAATGAAACATTTATAATACATTAAAATCTGATTAAAGTTACAAGTTCATATTTTCTAAGAAAGTCAAAACATAATTATTTCTATGTCTTTTGCTCAATAGGTTGTCAGCTCACTATTATACGATCATGGGTGTCATTCTCACACTTTAAACTCATTTACACCGGAAATAAAAACACAATTACCTCTCTTGTTTTCTATTCTCCACCATGGAGCAGTTATTTTCAAACGTTGGAATTTGAAGATGAAAATGATATTTTTGCCAATTTCTCAACTGACAATAGTGAATTATAGGATTAATAGGATTATTCTTTAACAAGGTAGGACTGTTTATAGATACCATCTATTTTAAGGCTTTATTTTAATAAATTTTAAAAATATAACTTAAAAATATGAAATTGCAACTTTAAGAGTAACAACTCATTAAGTAATTATCAGAAAACCATTAGAATTTGTTTGTTTTTTATAAAGTTCTGCCCCATGCTAACGTTTAGTATACGAAACATTTTTATCATGGATTTAGCTGTTCAAGTTATCAAAATTCATTGAAAATCAATATACTTGTTCGTCTCAAGGCCTTAAACTCTGTGTATCAATCTGAAGTCAATCGGGTGATAAATTTAGCCTCTAGAGTGTCACAAGATTTTTCAAAGTGATCAAGGGCCATAACTCTGGCAGTAATTATCGTAAATCGCTGAAAATCAATAGGCTTCTTCGTCTCATGACCTTAAACACTGTGTATAAATTTAAAGTCAATCGGGTATTAACTTTGACCTCTAGAGTGTCCACAAGATTTTTTGAAGTGATCAAGGGCCATAACTGTGGCAGTAATTATTGGAAATCGCTGAAAATCAATAGGCTTCTTCGTCTCATGACCTTGAACACTGTGTATAAATTTAAAGTCAATCGAATATTAACTTTGACCTCTAGAGCGTCCACAAGATTTTTTAAAGTGACCAAGGGCCATAACTCTGGCAGTAATTATCGCAAATCGCTGAAAATCAATAGGCTTCTTCGTCTCATGACCTTAAACACTGTGTATAAATTTAAAGTCAATCGGGTATTAACTTTGACTTCTAGAGTGCCCACAAGATTTTTTGAAGTGATCAAGGGCCATAACTGTGGCAGTAATTATTGGAAATCGCTGAAAATCAATAGGCTTCTTCATCTCATGACCTTGAACACTGTGTATAAATTTAAAGTCAATCGAATATTAACTTTGACCTCTAGAGCGTCCACAAGATTTTTTGAAGTGATCAAGGGCCATAACTCTGGCAGTAATTATCGGAGATCATTCAAAATCAATAGGCTTCTTCGTCTCATGACCTTAAACACTGTGTATAAATTTAAAGTCAATCGGATATTAACTGTAGCCTCTAGAGCGTCCACAAGCAATTGTGGACGCCGGACCGACAGACGACAATATACGACCACATTTCAATGTGGGCGTATAAAAAGGATTTGTTTATACTGTATATAAGGGGGGTTGGGATGGCCTAGTGGTCTAGAGTGTCACGCTTCGACCTCTAGCTGGCCGGTCACCTCTGGCTTGCGGTTGTGGTTTCGATCCCTGGTGTGAGCGTATGTGGCTTGGAGATAGGGGCGCCTTCTCAACCTCGTGGGTTTACTCCGGGTACTCCGGTTTCCTCCCACAGGAAAGACCCCTGCGCGTGCGCTAAGATAATGAAAAAAAAAAAAAAAGACAACTTGTCTGCGATATCACCTTCGGTGGAAGCGGACGTTAAACACTAACAACAACAACAACTGTATATAATGACTGCAATTACAATGACTGCAATGAATATTTTCCTACTGTTTGGATTATTTTTATGAATCCATTAAACCCCATTTTTTTTTCTTTTGTGGTACTCGTATACTTTTTTTTGTCTCGTATTTAGCATTAGCTTTAGGTCAATGCTACAGGTAACTTAAATCTGGTTTAAGACATTTGATAATATACCAATACTCAAACAGAGGGTAAATGCTACAAAATATATATATCCCCCCCCCCCCCTTTAAATTGTATGTGATTTTACCCTCTGATTTCGTTTTTTAATAGTTCAAAATTTCGTCTTCATCTTCATGTAGTGGAGGCCATCAAAAGTATGAAAGATGGGTTGCCAGGCAATGAAACATACACCCTCATCAGCTAAGTCGTCTGAGCAGTCAACAAAAGTTGTTGCAAATTTTTTCTATTGTCGGTAATGAAACATCTATAATACACTAAAATCTGATTAAGAGAAACAACTCATTACGGTATGTAATTATCAGGGAATCATTAGAATTTGTTTGGCTTTTAATTCTGCCCCATACTAAAGTTTAGTATACGAAACATTTTATATCATGGATTTAGCTGTTCAAGTTATCAAAATTTATTGAAAATCAATATAGTTGTTCATCTCAAGACATTAAACTCGGTCTAAAGTAAATCAGATGATAACTTTGGTCTCTGGAACATCCACAAGATTTTTTCAAAGTGATCATGGGCCATAACTCTGGTAGTAATTATCGGAAATCATTGAAAATCACTGGGCATCTTCGTCCCACGGCCTTAAACACTGTGTATAAATTTAAAGTCAATCGGACATTAACTTTAGCCTCTATAGAGCGTCCACAAGCAATTGTTGGCGCCGGACTGACGCACATGGGCGACGACAAAATACAACCACATTTCTATGTGAGTGTATATAAACTGATACAAAATATTGATCTTGGCTGGATATTTTGATACATTCTTCTGTGAGTGCAGTACCTGAGAGATATGTTTCCATGTGAATGTGTATCTAATATACATTGTCTAGTGCAAATGATAGTTGGAAAATCCATATAAACTGAAGAACATGCTGATACAAGCATACAATCAATATTTTAAATTTATAAGAAAAAATAAAAGAAGTAATAAAACTTACTCTAATGGAACTCTATTGATAGATTATATATAAAAATAAAAAAATAAAAAAAAACAACTCAAGAATAATTGTAAATTAACAAACAATTGACATTTATTAAATTGCACATATTTTTTGATTATAATAGGTGTACAATGATATAGATCAAATGATAGTAAAAAAGTTCATTATATATTTATATATCTGTCAGCTCTTATCTGATCTTACCTAATGCCTTTTTAAATCAATTAAATCATTAAAAAAACAAAATACTCAGTACAAGATTTAATCAAAAGTAATTGTCAGTATCATTATTGCTTGATAAAATTGTTATATAGGTTTATAAGAATTGTAGAGGTAGGCCTACATGTATAAAATACAGCAGTAGTGAGATACACATCAGTAACAAGAAAACAAATGTATAGTACACTATAATAAAGCCTTGAGTTTGCCTTGACTGTGAAGTTGAACTGTTTCATCACCACCACCAATGCAATTTCCATTAATAAAAACACGGGGTACCTGAAAATACATGAAACAGAGGTTATGCTAATTACTGTAATCATGCCTATAGATAAACTTAATAGCCTTGGGGTCTTTAGCAGTGGGAGCAAACCCACATGGTTAGGCAGACGATCCTTCTCAAAACCACACCTTTTGACTCAACGAAAGACATTATCATCTAAAGCGACACCCGTTTAGAAATTATGTTCTTATAGATAGGGGTTGAATGCAGGGGCGCAGGAACCCGGGTACCAGGGTATACAAATGGTACCCTGCCCTTTTCTGGGGTATAAATGTATAGCCATGCCCTAATGATGAAAGTTTTCAACCGTTTTACTAGTCTATTCATTTTTAAATCATAGATATGTATGATACGAAAATTGTGAATAATCAGGCTTAAATGTCTCTTTTATTATCATGTGTTTTAAAAGGTTTTATGTTGGAATTTGGAATGCTAGAGGTGGTCTAAACACCGTTCTCGGAATTGACTAATTTCAAAATTATCTAATAGGCAGAGAACCCCTATCTTTTGGTACCCTGGCCCTTGCGCCACGGCGCCCCAGGTTGAATGATATCAAAATAAAATGCTTTTAACAAATGTGACCTGTTGTATCTATTGGGTGGCTGGTTTTTATTTGAACAATAAGTAAAACACAGCAAGTTTATCAATCAGATAATACATATATACAAGTTCACTCCCATTTCGACTATAAATTTCATTACCCTCAAAATCCTGACCCCCCAACTAATCAGCAATGAACTGCTCCGCCGATTAAAAGACGTAATTAAGGTAAAGATTATTGTTAAAATAGCTTATTCATTATATATTATAGCTTGTTTTCTTTAAAGTTACAATTTCATATTTTCTAAGAAAGTCAAAACATAATTAGGGTTTCACACTGCGTAGCTTGTGTGAAACACTATTGTTTTTGTTAAAATTATTATTCTTATTATTATTATTCTTCTTTTGTTTTGAGTAGATCTCAGCAACTGATTGTCGGATCGTTACGATTTCTTCGGTTTTATCGGAAAAGTGGGTGTGACTTAGAGGATAAAGCTATTTTGAACGTTCTGCGACAATGCGAAATGTCCGAAATCACCGAAGCTATCGTTTTTAGAAATATTGCAGTAATTTTAACAATAATCATTGGATTTTAACTTTCGATGCATTTTGGCATAGCCGGAGACGGGGCACATAGCTACGCTACTTTTGATTTTTGATTTTCGGCAAATCTTCGCAGATATTAGGCGCTAAATTTAGAAAATTTAAATTTTTACAAAAAACTTTTTTATTTATGAATATTTTTTAATCGTGTTTTACACAAATATAACGAGTCCTCTGACTTGGGCAAAAATGTGAAAAATTTTTGTCTCGGTAATTTTCCTTGGCCCCCATTGGCTAATTCAGTTTTTCAGTCCTAGATTAATTATTTATTGTTCGATTTGTATAAAACAAAGTTCATATGCCCCGTTGTCTCAATTGTCATTTTTTTTGTTACCAATAGTGTTATCTGTCGGCACCGGAAGTGGCGTAAATTGACAAAAAACTACAATTTTGACAGTTAGGTACCATTTTTCGAAAGCAAATATTATTTTTTTCAAATCTGGTATAACTGAAATTGTGCGCCCTTTAAAGGCGCACAAAATGTTGGGACCATTTTTTTAAATTTCGATTCCGTTTTCGGGCTATTTCGATTAAAAGGTGAAAAAAGGTGTAAAATTAAGCTATTTACAACCCATCCAGCGTTTTCATATTTTAAAATATTACTTCGTAACTTTCATAAACTCGTAGCAATAATCTATACGGAGAGAATGTATGTGAAAATTAATTTGTAATATGCGCAGTTGCCGAGAAATGGGCAATTTTGCATGAGTCACTTTTTACGCTAGTTTGCCTGTAAAAGAGTCAATTATTATTCGATTTTCATAAAAGTGACACCATTTGATGTGTAATGTCAATTTTAACTAGGTCAAACCAATTTAACATTTTCAATATCACCGGAAATGACGTAATTTGGGCAAAAATTGTATTTATAGCCTTCGAAACCAGTAATTTATTCAAATGAGTCATATTTGTTATTTGTTTAAAATTTTGATATTTGATTCAAATCAACTAATACAATGAACCCTTACGATCATATAGATATCACAAAATGGTTTCTAACTTGTTCAGTTGCGGAGAAATAGGCAATTTTCAACAGGTCACTTTTTAAGGTTTTTTGTCAATAAAAGTGTCAATTATTATTCGATTTTCATGAAATTTTCACTGTGTGATACATAATGCCATTTACGATTTCATACAAGTAATTTAAGATTTTCATTATCACCGGAAGTAACGTCATTTTGGCAAAAACTGTATTTTTAGCCTTCAAAACAGATATTTTATTCAAATGAATCAGATTTGTAATGTTTTTAAAATTATGATATTTGATTCCAATCAACAAATAGAATGAACTCCTTCGATCATACAGATACCTCAAAATGGTTTCTAACTTGTACGGTTGCAGAGAAATAGGCGATTTTCTACAAGTCATTTTTCAAGGTTTTTGGTCTATAAAGGTGGCAATTATTATAGGATTTACATAAAATTTTCACCATGTGATGATGCTATTTCTGATTTCATAAACCAATTTAACATTTTCATTATCACCGGAAGTAATGTAATTTTGACAGGATCACTGACATGTAGCAAATGAATTGATTGCTGGATTTGGTTGTTTCTGCGTCCATTTTATTTCATGTGTGCAATGCTTATGTGGAAACCTGTTTAACGGTTTCATTGGTAACAGAAGTGACATAAGTTCAAGGGTAACGTGGCACCGGTGAAACCCGTCATTACTGCTTCGCAGTTCTAGTTATTTCTATGTCTTTTGCTCAATAGGTTGTCAACTCACTATTATACGATCATAGGTGTCATTCAAACACTTAAAACTCATTTACACCGGAAATAATAACACAATTACCTCCCAATTACCTCCCTTGTTTTCTATTCTCCACCATGGAGTAGCTATCCTCAAACGTTTGAATTTGAAGAGGAAAATGATATTTTTGCCAATTTCTCAACTGGCAATAGTGAATTATACTATTAGGATTAATAGGATTATTCTTTAACAAGGTAGGACTGTTTATAGATACCATCTATTTTAAGGCTTTATTTTAATAAATTTTAAAAATATAACGTAAAAATATGAAATTGCAACTTTAACATCAAAGAAAAAATATCAACTCGGGGTACATTTAATACTTGCTTATCTATATAAGATGAACTGTTTCAAATTTTGTACATTTATTTTTCAAGTTCACTATTATTCAGTCAAAATTTTTGTTATTTTATTAGAATTCCTTTATATCAAATATCAATAATAGAGGAAAATCTAAACATAACATCACCAACACTGATGAATTTTAATGATTATGTTACCAAATTTCTTGTTTGTTTATGGAACCATTATTAAACTGTTGAACCCAGGAAAAAGAACAACCTAGTGGGTTTCCACTCAAGAATGAATAAAACCATACCACACAGTCATCCTAACCTCTATAGATTTATTAACATAATTCGAAATATTGAGAAGTGCAAACGATCTTGTTTTGTTACATACATTTGTACTTATATACAATTTCTATATAAATTAGGGGGGTTGGATAGCCGAATGGTTAGCACGTGTGCGCGCTGTATCATAAGGTCTGTCATTGAGTGAACCGGTTGTATGTGACAAGGGGTAGGATCGCCTGTCCAACCTCATGGGTTTCCTCCCACTGCTAAAGACCCCTACGCGTAAGCAAATAATTAAAATAAAATTGAACCATGTGTTAGTCCCAAAATGACCTAGTTTGTGTCGAGTGGTCATTAAACCCCATTTCTCTCTCTAATTAATTTTTCATTCTTTTTTCTGTTTGTTTTGATATAATCTGTTATATGCTGTAGACTAAATGTCATGTTTTAATATGGAACAATCTTTTTTTAACTACAATGTATAGAGGGGGTATATAAGTAGGGGGTATTATACTATATACCGGAAAACCACTAAATACCGGAAAACACACAAAAAAACACGGAAAAACCTAACCCTAACCCACACACAGAGGACCAGGCTCCTGGTTACCTATTTAGTATTTAGGGTGTTTTCCGGTATTTAGTGTTTTTCCAGTGTTTTCCGGTATTCAGTGTAACATGGTGTTTTCCGGTATATAGTATTGCCGATAAGTAAGGATAATAAAATCACCAGACCATATAATCTGTTGTAATAAGCTGTAGTCAAAATGGGAGGGTAACAATGTACACACCTGCGACATATATATAATATATTGATAAATTAGCTTATTAGTCATGTTGATTTCTATGTTCAGTGTTGTTTAAATGTTATCAATCACACATAATGATAATGTACATTGATAAAGAAAAAAAAAGGTGCCTTCAACCTTGTAGTGTTGTAAAATCATACACTTTTATAAAGGATATTACAGTCACAGTGCTGGTACATGTACCTTCTTCTTTCCTTCAAACAATTTCTGTTTATAGATCTAGCAATGAGTAGGCCTAAGCTAAATCGTGTTATTGTCATGTACACGACTTACCATTATACATGATATCATCCTAACCTCTATAGATTTATTAACATAATTCGAAATATTGAGAAGTGCAAACGATCTTGTTTTGTTACATACATTTGTACTTATACAATTTCTATATAAATTAGGGGGGTTGGATAGCCGAATGGTTAGCACGTGTGCGCGCTGTATCATAAGGTCTGTCATTGAGTGAACCGGTTGTATGTGACAAGGGGTAGGATCGCCTGTCCAACCTCATGGGTTTCCTCCCACTGCTAAAGACCCCTACGCGTAAGCAAATAATTAAAATAAAATTGAACCATGTGTTAGTCCCAAAATGACCTAGTTTGTGTCGAGTGGTCATTAAACCCCATTTCTCTCTCTAATTAATTTTTAATTCTTTTTTCTGTTTGTTTTGATATAATCTGTTATATGCTGTAGACTAAATGTCATGTTTTAATATGGAACAATCTATTTTAACTACAATGTATAGAGGGGGTATATAAGTAGGGGGTATTATACTATATACCGGAAAACCACTAAATACCGGAAAACACACAAAAAAACACGGAAAAACCTAACCCTAACCCACACACAGAGGACCAGGCTCCTGGTTACCTATTTAGTATTTAGGGTGTTTTCCGGTATTTAGTGTTTTTCCAGTGTTTTCCGGTATTCAGTGTAACATGGTGTTTTCCGGTATATAGTATTGCCGATAAGTAAGGATAATAAAATCACCAGACCATATAATCTGTTGTAATAAGCTGTAGTCAAAATGGGAGGGTAACAATGTACACACCTGCGACATATATATAATATATTGATAAATTAGCTTATTAGTCATGTTGATTTCTATGTTCAGTGTTGTTTAAATGTTATCAATCACACATAATGATAATGTACATTGATAAAGAAAAAAAAAGGTGCCTTCAACCTTGTAGTGTTGTAAAATCATACACTTTTATAAAGGATATTACAGTCACAGTGCTGGTACATGTACCTTCTTCTTTCCTTCAAACAATTTCTGTTTATAGATCTAGCAATGAGTAGGCCTAAGCTAAATCGTGTTATTGTCATGTACACGACTTACCATTATACATGATATAATTATCATGACATACAGTACACGTACTGACGTAGGTTATTTATAGCCATGCCCAGATAGGGCCTACTACACAGACTAATATTAATAATATAAATAATTATCAATTTACCGAACGTGCTCCAGTCATTTGCGACATAAGTTGCTGAATTTCTTCACAATTGGGGTCATTATCAATTTCCATAACATCATATTCGTCTTCTTTCAAAAGACCCGGTTTCAAGTATTCATCTTGGAAAACCTTTTTTGCTTTTACACAAAAAGGACAGTACGATTTGGAAATTATGACTACTTTTTTCCCTGCAATCCTTGCTTCGATAGTTTTCTTAATGTCGCCCATATTTTTTCCTTGTGATATGAAATTCCAGAAACTTCTTTGACTTTGTTTAAGATAAGATTTACTACTGTATGGGATAAGCCGTCGGAATATTAATGAGACTGGAGACATGCATCAACCGGTAAAAATAGGACAACTAGGCCTAAACGAACTTTAACACTGGTTAATTACACTTTTCGGAATGTTAAAAATAGAACCGGAAATTCATACCGTATAAAGTTCAAAATCTCTGTGATTAATTGAACTACATATTGTTATGTTAGTGTTATCGTTCGAACATTTTGATAACATCTTACTGGCATCAAGAAAACGTGGCAAAACATAATTAAATGTAATTTCGTTCCGTTTTAATCTAACAGAATGCCAGTCAAGTCGTTCCCAAGCAAAGACGTCCACACGAAAAATGTGGTTAAGTCGTCCACACCCGTTGGTAGAGTCGTCCAAACGACTTCGTTTAATTTTGAGATATAGTATTAGTAATACGTTGGTGGAGTCGTCCACACGACATAGTTTACTTTCGGGACACGTAAGGTACTTAATTAGTATATTTTGTTTTGGTTTTGAGTTCTGCGTGATCATCATCCGTTCACTCTGGTTTTCAGAAAATCGCCACACTAGAGCGGCCCAGTTCATGAATAAACAACTAAGTAAATCATTTTATTCAATAAATAACAATTCCATAAACAAGTGTAAATAATAATCATACAACAATTGCATTAATACAACAATTTCATTAATATAACAAATTAATATAACAAATGCAATAACAATTTCATTCAAATAAACCCCACGCATAAATATATTCCTACACCGCTACCGAACGACCCACGTCCTTTAAAAGCCCGATACACTTTTTCCCCCCTGTTAATATAATTCCCATATTTTAAAAAAATTTCCCTGCTGTCGTCTCGAATTTCTTCCTCTGCCGTCGCTTTATAATTTCTTTTCCGAAACCAATCTTTGTGTACGGTACTAAAAACAAATCAACTAGATCTGGTTGGTGAAAATAAGAGAACAGAACAAGTGTTTTATTTGACTTTAATACCATTAATATACATGTATAAAAGATGAAATCATTCATGGTATACAGCAGGCCCGTAGCCAGAGGGGGCAAGGGGGGGCAATGCCCCCCCCCCCCAAAAAATAAATTTTTTTTGCCCCCCCCCCCCGAAAAAAAATTTGCTGACCATAGCTCTAAAATACATACTGTAGACTGTGACGGGTGTGCCCCCCCCCCCCTAAAAACTTCACTGCCCCTCCGAAGCTAGCAAGCTGGCTACGGGCCTGGTATACAGAGGTCGAGCGTGAAGACCTCGACATCCCCAGCAACTCCTGCACGACCATCATGGGCCCAGGGACGACATGTAGTGCACTGAACGTACCCCTCATCCATTGGCTGTCTGAACAGTACAAACAAACGATTGATCATTTTCTTCCTCGGATTCACTTGAACTGCATGAATACTTCATATGGGTCAAAATGGCACAGTGTACATGGTTCATTTAGTACAAATGAAAGGGCCCATTTCAATCGAAAAGTTTGCCTTTTTTTGCCAGCCGAACGAAATGCACTATACAATTGCTCAGGTACAATTGTAGATTCTAAATTAGACACGCTAATTATGATAAGCAGATTTGCTTCCCTTTAATTGATAATTTCATTTAAGAACCTGACATGCAGACATTGCATAATTCTTAAATTAGAGTTATTCCACTTGTTAAGAATGTAAAGTTTGACGGTGGTCAAGTGTTGAAGTGAATTATGTTTGCAGTGTTTTATATAGAATTTGGGGGGACACAACGTGTCTGTAAGGATAATTTTATGTTTTGTTATATTCCTAAAAATGTTTAATCCATATATTATTATGTAGCTATAACTGTGAATATGTTTGTTTTATACATGTAAAATTGTACACAAACTTTGTCAAGATTTCCACGTGATGATTGAATACTTGTTGCACGTCAGTTTAATACCAGTTGGTTTAATTCTATTAAGAATAGGTTATATTTGTATATTTCAGAAATCAATCACACACACACACACACCCATACACCCGATATATCTCAACTATTAAAACACTACGTCTAAAGTTGTTACAGTATATAACCATGTTGATGTTAATGATGGTTTGCTGATTAAAGTCAACTTTATCGTATGGAACTATATAGTAGTTTGATCGTTTGTGCATTTGGATGTTTTACCCCTTATAGCTGTCCGTTCACGTGGTATTTAAAGGATTGGCAGTTATGATAATTTAGACACGGTTCTGCAGTGTGAATGAAGACGCAGATTATTTAAGGATCACCAAGAATATTCAAGGCCTAAAGCTTTATTGTAAGGGGAGTCTTATCAAGATGGCAAATAGTTGAAATAGTGGTGAAGACTTTCAAGGCACGAAGCATTTGATAGCTTTGATAACCAACTTAACCAAAGGAAAAATTGATCTGCGAAAGGTTTTATCGAATGATGTAGATTTAATAGATGCGAAATTTATAAAGGAAACAGAAGAAATAAATCACAACATGGAAGAGGCATGGGATAGATTTCATGAAGGTCATAATAGATGCCTTGAGATTTTAACAGAAGTTGATGAAATAGAAGAGGAATATTTAAAGTATGACGAACAAAGGAAATTGTCAATAGAGCTACGTAAAAAAATGCCAAATGGAGAAAGGCAGTTTTTACGCAAATAGAGGAAAATGAAGTTCCCTCTCCCCCAAGTCAAGTTAGTGATCTGAAAACCAGATCAAGAGCCAGTAGTTCTAGTCTGTGAAATTCTGATGTTGTGAAGGAAAGGTTAGAGGGAGAAAGAGCACAGAAATTAGAATTGGAGACTCGGATTAAAGGTTTACAAGAGGAAATGAATCAAGTAGAAGAAAGAGAATCGGCCCTGAGAGAGGCCTTGGAATTACCGACACCCCTGAATGCCGCAGCCACAGTAGGGACTGATCAAGCAGGTCAGGGCCAGAATAAATCGACACTAGAAGCAATTTTGGAAAAAAACAGACAAAATGTATAGAAAGAATGCTTGAAGATCAAAGACAAAATACTATATTACTGACATTGCCTAAGGTTGATATGCCTTTTCTACCTTTATGACGTCATTTGAAAATCTGGTTGCGTCGAAGACAAATAGTGACAGTTCCAAGTTACATTATCTGTTACAATATACCTCCGGGGAAGCTAGAGAAGTTACGAAGAGTTGTTTAACAATGCATCCCGAGAGAGGTTATAAGGAATCTTTGCGACTGTTGAAAAGCAGATTCGGTCATAATTACAAAATTGCAACCGCATATGTTGATAAAGTAGTTAATTATCCAGCTCTAAAATCAGAAGATGGTAACGGACTTCAGAAATATGCCAACTTGTAAATTAGAAAACCCCGATAATATGCGGAAAGTAATTTCGAAATTGCCTTTTGATTTAAGGAAGAAATGGAGAGTAAAGGCAGACTATATTACGGAATATAAAGATAGAGAAATTAATTTATCAGATATTGCCAATTACGTTGAAAAGGAGGCTAGAATTCTGACACACCCTTCTGTTCGGTAATCTAAGTACTGTCGATAATAGTTCTACCGTGAGCCAAAGTAGCAATAAATTTCGAAGTAGACAAACTAACTATTCGAAAACGAACCTTTCTACTAATGTTGATAAGCCCAACGGCACTCATAAACTGATATGTCCATGTTGTAAAAGAGACCATTCTATATTTGATTGCCAAGAGTTCTTAGGTAAATCATTAGAACAGAAAAGAACATTTATTCAAGAAAGTAATCTGTGCTTTAATTGTCTGACATTTGGACATCGCGCTCGTTTCTGCAGGAAAAGGATAAACTGTAATAATATGTAAAGGCAGGCACACAACGATTGTACATCTACCCGTTCTGAACTCGCAAGCTACTAATGGTTTTTTTAAATCGCAATTCAAATTTTTGCGATAAGATAGCCCTACCTGTAATAGCTGTGAAAGTCAGGGCACCAGGAAAATCTGACATTATTGATGCCCTCGCGCTGTATGACACAGGGTCAAATGGTACATTCTCTACTGACAGACTTGTGGACAAACTGAAGTTGAAGGGAACACCTACCAAATTATCATTAACAACACTAGATAAAGACAGGTATCAGGTGGACAGTAGAACGGTTGAAATGGAAATATTTGACTACGAAATGAAGAATTTTGCCGAACTTTCAAAGGTGTATACACGACCCACTTTGCCTATATCGTCCCATGACAAACCAAGTCAAGAAGAGATAGATAAATGGCCCCACTTGGATGATGTTAGAATTTACGAATCACAGAATTTATCTAAAGTAGATTTGCTGATTGGGTGCGATCATAGTTTTTTATTTGAACCGAAGGAAATCAGAGAGAGCGAAAATAGTGGACCTTATGCAGTCAAGACTATGTTGGGATATGGGTTGTAAATGGACCTATTGGTAAGACAATCAGTCAAGAGAAGATATGTAATTTTATTAGATCTCATGCTCAACTTAACCAACAGTTCGAACAGTACTGCAATATGGAATTTAATGACTCGATCGATGAGACTAAAGTAGCAATGTTCCAGAAAGATAGTCGAGCCATGGTGATTTACGAGAAGTCAATTAACCTAGTCAATGGACATTACGAAGTTTCTCTTCCCCTAAAAATAAACCCACCGGGTTACCTAACAGTCGACCAATGGCTGAACACAGGTTCTCTTTATTGAAGAAACGTTTCAAGAAGAATCCCGATTTGTTTGATCGATACGATGAAATTATCCAGAGACTTGTTAGTAAAGATTATACCGAGAGAGTTTTAAATGATCAACTGTCAAGAAACGATGGTATGTTATGGTTCTTACCCCACCACCCGGTATTTCATGTGAAAAAGCCAGGGTAGTGTTTGACTGTTCGGCCAAGTACCGTGGAATTTGTTTAAATGATACTCTTTTAAGAGGCCCAGACATGACGAGTACATTGTTCGGCGTTTTAATCCGTTTCCGACAAGAATTGGGGATGTCGAAGCAATGTTCCATCAAGTTGGTGTTATTCAATGTCAAAGAGACCTACTACGATTTCTATGGTGGCCGGAAAGGGATATAGACGTCGATCCTTCGGAATATCGCAGGAGAGTACATTTATTCGGGGCCACTTCTTCTCCGAGCGTTTGCAATT